TGAGTTTTGGAACAGGTACTGTTTGAGGTTAGCTGGCTTCAGGAGCCTTTGTCGCCTCCCAGGCATGTTTGCTGTTGTTTGGTTTGCTGAGGGCCTGCACACAGGTACAGGTAGGAGACCTGTGGCCTCAGGGAAAGTGTGGACAGTCTTCCTCCATTGTCCTGGAAGCTATTAATATACCTAGTAAACAGATGCCCTAGGGACAGAACCTTAGCTGGAAGCTTCTCACTTGATACTCCTGGGGTTCTGGATGGGGTACAATAGAGGATTAATGGCCACCTTTGGTGGCTTCTAAGGGCTTCTGCTGAAGTACCGGGCAGGGGTGGTAGGAAGGAGAGAGCTCTCTCTGGTTTCCTCGTTTTGGTGCCAGGCTTGACTCCCTGAGCTGTCATCTTCTAGCTGAAGGAGCTGTCACTCAGTAAAGAGCTTCATGCAGTGGGGGCTTTTGGGCACACAGTAGGAGGCTTGCAGGTGAGGTGAACACACAGTACACGTCTGCAGACTAAATGAGCATGTGCACCAGGGTGACAGTTTGTCTGTGGTGCTTTCCTGTCTGTTCATTTGTTTTAAATTTTGGAGTAAAAATGAAACACAGAACAAAAAGATATCAAAGTAAAATCTAGCCGTCTGAAAAACTGGAAAACAGTTCACGCAGTTTGATTTACTTAAACGAATGTTGATAATGTTCCCCTTCCCTCCACTGAGTTTGCCAGAGGGGCTCTGTGAGCAGCCATGACTTATAGACTGGTTTATGAGTGTGTAGCGCACATACTGTAAAACCTGAGTCTAATTATAGCTTTGTCTATGGAGGGTGCGATGCGTTCATGAGTTTTTGGAAATGTCTCATTCACTTCGGGGGAACAGGTGAACTTATAGGCAAGGACAGCTCTAGACCAGAGGGCGCTGCTCGACTGCCGCCCAGTTCATTGGGTGTGGTGATGAGGAACCCTCAGATCCCAATTTCCCCTCACCATTGAAGGTTCATCACCACTCAGGGTCTGTAAAAGGTATGACCTTTCGAGCCTATGTGTGTCAAACACTTCTTGCCTGGTCCTTCCTCCTGATCGAGAGCTCCTACGGGCAGTTTCTATGTCTGGAAGCGCTGTGGTGCCAAGAGCAGTCTCTCTCCTGTGGCACAAAGATAAACTATCTCTTTCTGCCCCGTTTCTCCC